CGCCCCCCCCCAGCTGGAGGAGCAGCTGAGCCGGCTGCAGCGGGAGAAGAACGAGGTGCAGAGTCGGCTGGAGGAGGACCAGGAGGACATGAACGAGCTGATGAAGAAGCACAAGGCGGCTGTGGCCCAGGTGAGGGGGGAACATCAGCCACGGCACCCCCGCCCCCCATAACGCCCCTCTCGGAGCCGGTGCGGTGGGGTCCCCACTGACGACCCTGGTGGGTCCCGCAGGCATCCCGGGACCTGGCACAGATGAACGACCTCCAGGCGCAGCTGGAGGAGGTCAGCAAGGAGAAGCAGGAGCTGCAGGAGAAGGTGGGGAGCACCGACATCGCGCACGGGCATGCACGCTGAGTGAAGCCGGGGCGGGCAGGGGGGCACCCAGAGACCCGCTGCCCACGCTATGGGGGGGGGGCCCTGCACCCTGGGGAGAGCAGAGCAGTCCCACGGGGAGCTCTCCGTTGGGATGGGAGCAGCGTGGCTGGGAGCTCCCCTCCAGGGCGGCGTGGTGGGGAGCCGGGGAGGTGGTGGTCGAGGCTGAGGCTGTTGCTCCCCCCACAGCTGCAAGGCCTGCAGAGCCAGCTGGAGTTCCTGGAGCAGTCCATGGTGGACAAGTCGCTGGTGAGCCGGCAGGAGGCCAAGATCCGCGAGCTGGAGACCAGGCTGGAGTTCGAGCGGACGCAAGTCAAGCGCCTGGAGGTAGGCGCTGGGCAATCCCTCCGCTCCATCTGGGACCGGGATGCAACGGGACCATGATGCGAAGCTGCCCAGGGGGTCCCCGGAGTCCATCCCCGATATCCCCTCCTTGGGATCCCCCCATGCTGCAGCCCTCCCCTGCCGGCAGCCGGGCCCTGGCTCCACACGGAAAGCTCCCTGCAAGCGCCGATAACAATAATCCACCACCCAGCCCAGCAAAGTGCTGCTATTTCCCTGCATTGACTTAGGGAAATTATAGACTCTCCCGGCCCGGCTAAACGCAGCCTGCTTTATATTCTGCCTTTGCAGCTCTGCCGGGGGAACGGAGCAGCTTAGCTCTCTTAATATTTTCCTAGCTGTTATTTCCCTTCCCTGCTTTCTCTGCCGGGGCCATAAATATGCAGCGGTTGGCTCAGCGGCTGGGGGAGAATGGGAGCTATTTTTTCCCTACGTTACATGCTGTAATTACTTCACACACAGTTAAATCTATTTTTCCAATTCGACAAAGCCCCCGCGGGTTGTTCTGCCCTTTCCCTGGCCCTGGGGGGGTGTTTCTCCTCCATCTCCTCGTGTAAATTTGTGGGGATGGGGTCCGTCCTCGCGTG